CTGCCTTTTCTGTGTTCATAGTATTATTATAACTGATCCCAGGTCAGCATAACTTCAGCTAAAACAGAGATTGATCCACATTTAAGTGTTTAAAATCTGATAGAACCAGCTCCTCCTCTCACTAGAACTCAACAGGTCTTAATGGAAACATTGACTGCATCTTATGGGTCTGATCCGAACCTTTTCGTTGCAGATCACTTCACCCAGGTGCTTCACTGTGAACATGAGTGTGTGAGAGACCTGGCGACTCGGCCGGGCCGCCTCTCCCCCATGGAGAACTACCTGCCTCTGCACTACGACTACCTGCAGTTTGCTTATTTCAAAGGTAGTGTGTTTCTGTACTCGCACGTGCCCGTGATGCTCTGCACCCAATGGATTCGATTAAGGCTAATTAAATCTCCTCAGACACAACATCTGACTGTGTTTAGTGTATAAGCAGAGCAGATCCACCCATGCATGCACATACAGGCACACACGGTGACCACAAAGAGTTACAAACCTTCACTAAACAGAACCTCGCCCTGTTTGGAGTTTGTTGCAACAACACTGATGATCTGGTGTGCGTCAGCTTGAGCATTTGCACGGCTGCCTCCAGTCTGACACCGAGGCGTTTGGTTTAAAATGTGCGTCTGAGTAAACAGGAAGCATCTTTGTTTAGAACTGAGGATCCTCTAGGAACGAGCCTCGGCACCAGTGTGTGTTTGGAAGAGACTGAATCTGATCAGATCGTATTTAATGAGCCAGAGGCATGTGGCTCAAATAAAGAAAAGTGGAGCACTGAGAGCAGGCCAAGGTTATTCTCACACAGAGCAGCAGCATCGGGCCGCTGCCTAAAACACACCCTTCACTGCAGCATCACTCAGCTGCTGTTCCTTGTGTTTTATCTGCTTGAGTGGCTGTTTGGGCTCAAACCTCCAGACTCTTGACCTGAAAGCTGATGGCAGCTGACAGCAACAGATTTGCTGCTAGCCAAGAAAGGAAGTCTTAAGTTAACTCTGATTCTTTATAGTCTGGTGAAAAATGTGTTTGTGTGACAGGAGGTGGAGGATTGTGGATTTGTGTTTGCAATTCAGGCTGGCAGTGCAAAATGTCTCACTCCATCACTGACGTCCTACGGGTTTAAGGAGTGGGGGTGGGAATCCTGGCTCCTTGAGGGCCACTATCCTGCATGTTTTAGTTGTTTCCCTGCTCCAACACAACTGAATTTAATCAGCAGGTGATTATCAGGCTTCTGCAGAGCTTCATGAGCTGCTGAACAGGTGATTAAATCACTGAATCAGGAGTGTTGGAGCAGTGAAACACCTAAAACACGCGGTCGTCTAGGACCAGTGTTCTCCACACTGCTTTAAAGGAATACTATTGATCCGTTTTATGTCTCTCTGTCAGTGAACAGGCCGGAGGAGGCGCTGCAGTGTGCTCTCACCTACTGTTTGTTTCATGAGGAGGAGGAGTTCATGACGGAGAACGTGGAGTTCTACAGGGAGATTGTGGGACACGAAGGGAAACCGCGAGAGGTCAGTGACCGTCAGGACGTAAGCAGGTGAACGTTGCAGAATGTAGCTTTTCTAAAACAAGGATGGGAAAACGAACGTGCAAAACATGGTGGCATGTCACAAAGCAACATGGGTAACTGAAGCATCTCAGCCAGAGGATATGATGACCAGATCCGTGTCTGGTTGAACACGGCAAGAAGAAAAGTACGTAAAGATGAAAATTTAGCTTTGGGAACCAGTGATTTATATAATCTAATGAAAGATGATGAGATTTTATCAAATAAATTTCTGTTTGCAAGTGACTGTCTAAAATAAATACATTTTGTGACTTTCACTGTGTGTGTGTGTGTGTGTGTGTGTGTGTGTGTGTGTGTGTGTGTGTGTGTGTGTGTGTGTGTGTGTGTGTGTGTGTGTGTGTGTGTGTGTGTGTGTGTGTAGGAAGCTGCTTGGTACCTGAGGAGGCACAGACAGGAACTGGAGCTCCTTCTGACTGGCAGCAGAATAATGGGAGTGGACTTCACTGAAGGGGTGAGTCGGATGAGGCATCTGCTCAAGCTGTGTTTAATTCTCACGTGGTTCCAAGAGCATGCAACACCATGTGAGCACATAGTGACAAACCACTGTATTTAATTCTTTGTTTTGCTCTGGAGATGCATTTTTGTGTTTACTGGCTGGTTTGTTGGTAAACTCGTCTGAATGTCTGCGATGTGGATCAGAACCACCGCTTGGTGTGAAAAAAGCCTAATGTGTCCCTGCTGGCTCAAAGCAGGGTAACAGGTGTCTGGCACCACCACTTCAGCGCTATGCTTTAACAACACCTCCACCTACTGGTCATGGACTGGACCGCTCCCATTTTAATCTTATATTCCTATCATTAGACACGTGCAGAATTTTCATTTTATTGTTTGTTCTTTTAAAGTATGAGATAAGCTTTAGATATGTTTTCTTTTGTCTGTCCTGCAGAACTACTGGAGTAACAGCGGTGGAAGAGATGATTCAAACAGGTGAGATGACTTAAAATCACTCCGTTTTGAATCTGCTTGAATCAGAACTTAATTAAATCCCTTAATTACCAACATGAAGCAGTTCATGTTCCAGCTTAGATGCTTTTTTGCAACAAATATTAATAACAGTAAAATTGTTAATAATTAGATATGATTCAGCCTTCGACTTTCATATTTTATGCATCAAAAATACCCTCTTAATTCTAAAATCCAATCCCTGAAAACTCAAACTGTTGAAACTTCTGGAACAACAACTTAATATTGAACTTTTTAATAATGAACTGATGAATTCTCCAGATCGTTTTCTTTTATCAGACGTTGATGGAACTGAAGTAGAGCTGTAAGAAACACCTGGAGTCACACTTACTGTTAGTTTCATGGGTATTTTTTCTTCTTCTCAGAATTCCCTCTGGCACCAACGGCTGGATGGACTACGTTCCCATCTCGGAGAAGAAAAATGCTTCTGCAGTCGTTTCACTGCAACTGAGAGAAGGTCAGCTTTGCCTCTACAAAAACAACATTAGAATTACTGTTGAAAGATGCTAAAATGTCAAAACTAACATTTTACTGCAACGCGTAGGTGGCCCACTGTTATACGATGGTGTGAAGCTCGTGCAGAACTCGTTGGCCTTGAACGGGACCCAGCGGGTGCTGCTGGATCACGTTATATCTGAGGAGGAGTGCTCCAACCTCAGAGGCCTGGCACATGTGAGGGACTGACACGGTTATGATCAAATAACGACTTACTGAGTAATACCTCTACTTTGAGTGTGAGGCTGATTTGGTGTTTTTTGGGGGGGTTAAGCAGGCTGTCACCATGGCAGGAGATGGTTACAGAGGGAGGATGTCTCCACACACTCCTAATGAGAAGTTTGAAGGAGCCACTGTACTCAAAACTCTGCAGGCATGTTTACTAACAAACATCTGTTTCCTTATTCTGCTGCATAACTCGGGATCTATAAATTATTACCAACATTTCTGCAAACTCTGCAGGAGAACGTTCAGTTAGAGTTTTAACACAATGCCAGGCTGAATGTGTTTTGATATGCATCTCCTTTTCCTGGTTCCTGCAGTATGGCTATGAGGGCAGAGTACCGATGAGGAGCGCTCGGCTGTTCTACGACACTAGTGAGCGAGTCAGACGAATCGTGGAGTCTTATTTCTTGCTAAATTCCACGCTGCACTTCTCCTACACACACCTGGTGTGTCGGACAGCAATCTCAGGTTAGAAACTGGACAAACACAGGAACATCAGCATCTGCATCACGTGACTGCGGCTTCCACGGTGGTCACGTGACGTCACGTGACACTGGAGACAACGTAAAATTTTATATGTATTAGTTTCAATATAAATATATAATGAGCCTTTTACTTTTTAAATTGTGTGTATGTTTATTAAATTAAAAATATAGGCGAGTTACTACCCTCTGGTCACCGAAGCTGCAGCTACTAAGCAACTAACCAACCATAGAAAACTTCTTTGGATCTAAAAAACATTTTAAATTAGCTCACTTACTTTTAAACTTGAAAATTGTCCCCGAAGTAGCTGCCGGCTTCTGATCTGCCGCCTTTTTGAAAATACCGCAGTGTATTCTGGGTAATCTTTGACCAAGGCTTGGCTACAAGACACCTCCCGTGTATCCTTGCTCAGCTAGCTAAACGGCTAACAAACGGAGAGCACACGCCTCGGTAGAACATGAACATTGGAACCGATTGGAACACGCCTTGGCGGCTCCTGATGACATATCTCCTAGGAAACCGGGGCGGGGCCAAGACATCAAGCCAAGGTTCCTTGACATTGAGAAACACCCCTGGTGTGTGAAGCTCAGCTGTGATATGGCTCATTTCTAGTTCCTGGAAATGGTGCATCGATGTTTTTTGCGCTCCCGAGTACGACTTGCAAGGCATTCGTTCCTACTAGAGACCACTGCAAAAGGTATTGATAAAACGAGTGTCCCACACTCGTTTTTGGGCTGAATGGTGGCGCAGTGGTTAGCACTGTTGCCTCGCAGCACGAAGGTTGCAGGTTCGAAACTCTGCTGTGGCCTTTCTGCGTGGAGTTGCGTGTTCTCCCCATGCATGCGTGGGTTTCCTCCGGGTACTCCGGTTTCCCCCACAGATCACAACATGCCCTATAGGTTATAAATTGTAAGTCGCTTTGGATAAAAGTGTCTGCTAAATGAATAAACATAATAAACATTAACACCTTTAAGGTAATTTACAAGCATATTGTTTTATAAATGTAAAATAAATAATGCTTGTGTTTTCTATAACACGTTTTCTGTTTGTTCAGTGATCATCAGCTTTTGTCTCCTGGTTGTGTTAAAGCCTTTCACATGAAAGCAGCTGCTCTTTCATTATTTTTAAGGATCGCTTTGTAAACAATATATGAAAGGTTAAAGTCTTAATGAAAATAAACAGTTCACGTGGGAAAGAATCTCTGTGCAGGTTCGTTGTTTGCATTAAAAGCCAAAGAGCACAATGAGGGAAGTAAAACGTTGTTGTTGTTGTTGTTGTTGTTGTTTTTAGGCCAGCAGGATCATAGGAACGACCTGAGCCATCCCATCCATGCTGACAACTGTCTGCTGGACCCCGACGCCAACGAGTGCTGGAAGGAGCCTCCAGCGTACACGTATAGAGACTACAGGTGTGATCGTGTAAATATGATTTAAACATGTATTAATAACCACCTGCACTAATTATCTGTTTCCTTCACTTTAGTGCACTGTTATACCTAAACGGAGACTTTGATGGAGGAGAGTTTATATTCACAGAGATGGATGCCAAAACTGTCACGGTGAGAGGATTTTCCTCACCAATGCTACGTGTCATTTGTCTCAGATTTATCATGAACTGCAGAATGATTTGGTTGTTTTGTTTCAAAAACTGGTGTCTGACTTTGTTATTGGAAGTGTTTTTTTCCAGAAAGGTGGGCTTTTTCAGATCAAATTTATTGGTTTTAGATTTTAATATTTTCTTTTAAATATCTAAACAGGAGAAAATAAATACACCTTGTAATCCTCATCGTAAATACAGAGACTTGCCTCTGTCAGTGCACCCCAGGGCAGCTGTGGCTACATCGTAGCTCATCACCATCAGTACGTGAATTTGTGTGTGAATGGTTGAATGATACACTGTACTCTTGAGAGGCGCTATACAAGTGCGGGTCATTTATCATTTTACAATTTGAACCAGCAGGTCAACCACTCACCAGGGGACATTTTGATCCCCGTTATTGGAGCATGAACGTAAACAAATCTACTAACTTTATGATTTTGGATGAAAAAATCAAAACAAGGAAGGCTGAGAGTTGGATTTAAATAGACCAATAGGATGACAGTGATCATTCTGGTCTTACTTCTGTCTCTTCCTTTTATTTCTCTTCAGGCTTCAGTGAAACCCAAATGTGGCCGACTGGTGGGGTTCTCCTCAGGGGGTGAGAATCCTCACGGCGTGAAGGCCGTCACCAGTGGCCAGAGGTGTGCCGTGGCTCTGTGGTTCACCCTGGACCCTCTCTACAGAGAGCTGGTAAATGAGTCACCTTGCCAAAAATTATAATCTAGCTCAGATATTTGTCTAATCAGAACTTTATTTTTCCTTTGCTTGTTTTGCGTCCAGGAGCGACTACAGGCAGACGAGGTGATCCAGGCTTTAGACACACAGTCCGTTTGGGGCCAAGGCCTCAACATCAACCCTAAAGACGAACTGTAGAGGATGGAGATCTCCCCCAGCCTTCCTCCTTTACAAAACTCCTCTTTATAATTATACTATTTATTGAATGGCGTTTGGATCAGAACATTTTTATTTTTGTACTGTTTGAAGTGCAGGGTAATATGTTGTTTTGTGTTGTCACTGAGTTGTATCCCTTTTCATCTATTGTGTTTCCATCCAGACATGTGTTGTTTTACTGTGTTGTGTGTGAAAGGTGTGTTGAACTGTGAAGTTGACAAAGCTTAATTCAATCAAAAATATGTGCAGTTACTAAAAATGTTTTAAGTTTAGAGGTCATTTGTTTCAAACTATAACTCATATCCATGTTACATATTGTTTCACATGTTATTGCTACATTATTTTACAGTTCTGTGCCAGTAATAATTATTTTCTAAGTAGGCGGTACACTGTTTTTCCACTTTAGAAATATCACTCATCTAAAAATGTGTTAAAGGTGCAATATGTAAGAATGAAGGAAGAATTACATCAAGCAGTCCATTTTTATAAACAAAAGGTGACTTTCACTATCGTTCTGTGAGTTTCATGGCTGTTGCCATATGCTGGTGAAGGTTCTCAGTCATCCAGGTCAAGGTAATCCAAACAGGTTTGAATGAAGGTAACTGGACTTCTTTTGTTTCTTGAAGATGTTTGTTGCCAGTTACGGATCAGCTTCATGAGATTCTAAATGACAAAGACAAGTCAGAAACAGTAAGTTGATAATTAAATACATCGTCATTTCTGGGGCTAGTACTCTTGGGTGTTTTACGGTAGGGAGCACAGACTACACTGATTACGGTAATATGCCTCAGGCATTCAAGGAAGTGTGGTTGTTTTCTGTCTTGCTTGTTCTGAACAAGTCAGTGCATAAAAAGATCAATTTCACTGTAATATTGAGTTGTTGGTAATTGAAAAAGTAGCTTGAGATATTTTTTAGATATTTGAGATGATTTTTTGCTAATTCACCATTAGCATTGTTATCTCAGCGTTAGCTTCTAGCCTTCTTCACCCGATAGACTAAAACAAAAAGATGCCGTGGCTTCTTAGGAGTGCAAGAAATAACTTCTGGGTTGCTCCTGTTTACTGGCTTTGGTTCTTTCAACAACTCTGGAGCTTTTTTTCCTCACTGGTGTTGAAATACAAATACCAGCATTGCAGCTTACTGCAAACTCAGCAACCTTGCAGGCTCACAGATTGTAAACAAAGACTTTGTGCCTCTTTAGTTTATTTGAAAGGAAAAAACTGACCACCCATCAGTCGGCTGAGAATAAAATCTGTTTCAGTATAACCTTCCTTCCAACATGACTGAGATATTAAAATGTTTTGTGTGCTTCACCATAGGATTCTTGCATATTGCTCCTTTAAAAAGGCAAACATTTTTCTGTGTTTAAAGAGTCCTCAGTCAATGTATTAAAATAGAGTCATATACAGGTCTACGAAGTCACTGATGATAGGGCATAAGTGTTTTTTATTTATGTGTTTTAATAATAGACCGCTGCTGTCTGCATTTATTATGAAAACTATTTTCATAAAAGATGCTAATCATTCCTGTTTCAAGGAATATATATTTGTACACTTTAATAATTCTTTATATTTGTATTGATGATGTTGATGCACTGCAAATCCAAACAAAACAATTCATTTTGTTTTTCTACATCCATCCATCCATCCATCCATCCATTTTAATCCGCTGATCCGGAGTTGGGTCGCGAGGGCAGTAGCCTAAGGCGAGAGGCCCAGACTTCCTTCTCCCCAGCCACTTGTTGTTCTACATAGATTTAAAATGCTAATCGGTCATTTTCTCCTGCTTTATCAGGTTGGACACTTAATTTTTATTTAATAACATAATGCTGTAGCACATAGATGTATGTGTGCATGCTTACAAATGAAAGACAAACATATTGTAATAATAATTAGCTATTTTTTGTTTTATTGACATTGTGTACAATTAGACATCACAACCAAAAACACATTGAACAATAAAATATGTTGGATTCTCTGATACAAGGTTTCATGATCATTCTAATTAAAAAGGAAAACAAATCGCTCTTTCTATAGCACTATGAGCATTTTGCAGGGATAAAACATTTAATTTCTCTAAGATTGCATATTTTCTTATAACCACTTGTATGTTTATATTTCTTTTAGTACAGAGTGCTAAAACTGTCCGATTTAAAACTGATTCAAAATAACTTAGTTTTTCTCAATTGCTAAAGCACAATTCCTGAAACCTTGCTCCCTTTTCTTAAAACATTAAACACAAAACCTCAGCTTCAAGCACGATTTACAAAACCTCTCATCCCTCTTGCAAAATCAAACTTTCGCCTCAAAACAGTTTTAGCTGTGCTCAAAATCAAACACTACTCTCAAATCATAAACAAATTACTCAAAAATTACATACACCATCAAGCAGTCAGTAAACAATACACCAAAAAATAGAAAGCACAACGTTCAGGGCCATACAGTTTATTGTACAATATACAGCCTGCAGTCCATTGTGCCACAGTGTTCAATGACAGTGAAAAAAAAATACATAAAATGAAAAACAAAGGACTAAACATGTTATCAATGGGCCTCTTCTTGTCTGTGGGCTGGGTCAGGCCACAGCACTTCATCAACATCACTTGCAATATTTTCCCTCCTGAGGCTCAAATTGGGTTGCACTCTAGTGGGCCATTCCCATCTGTACCGGGTCGGCCCGGGCCGGGTAGCGTAGGTTGTTTACATATCTGGGTGGCCTGGTATTTTTCCGGGCCAACCAAGGCTCATTCTCAGTCCTCTTCTCGAGGGGGTCTGCTTCAGGCCGACCAGGGCCAACACACCCACTGCTGACAGCAAATTCACACCTTCCATTAGAGCAAGCCTCTGATTGGTGGGTAGAATCAGCCCACATGGGCGTAAGACAAGGATGTGTGGAATCAACCGGGCCAGGCTGGGGCTGACTGGGGCTACCCGGCCCGGGCCGACCCGGTACAGATGGGAATGGCCCATAAGTCCTGCTTCCCTCATTGTCAGCCCTTGGACAACAACATGGTCGATGGTTGTTGCTCAAATTTCATTGGAGATTTCCACTCTTTGTCTTACTCTTCCTCTTCATTCTCCTCTTTCTTGCCCTCATCCCCCACCTCGCATACGCACCCGTCCTCGTCCTCTCACATGAATTCTTCTATCCACTGTCCCACTTTCTCATTCCCACCTCCAACAACCTGTTTGCTCTCTGAACTTGCTTATAATGGTTGTCACATCATTTGAAACAAGTGAGATCAATTTAGACTGATTGTGTTCAATCAATGACATTTGTGCTCTTGTTATGGGTAAATGTGCCACTTGTGTTTACCGTTATGGACGACATGTACATTAGAGTGCAGACTGTGTTTTAAGAATGAAAATGCGTTTAGAGTTTTGCTAAACCGTATGAAATTGTTTCAGGTTTTGACAACAGGCTCAACAGTTAGCTTAATGGATTTTAGTGTTATAGCAATTGAGAAAAACTTTAATAATAAAGGTGTCTCTATCGTTCACCTTTACCTAGTTTATAAATGATACAAAACATGTCAAAAAAAACATTCAGTGCATTATAAAAAACATAATTCTAATTAAAAGAGCTGTTTTGTGTTTGATTAAACACAGTTAGACCTTTGGGGACAAAAAAATACTATTTGTGTGACTATTTGACATACTGTTGTAAATTCTGTAATTAAAGGCAAACAGTGAATACTTTAATAGTAACACTGTTATGCATAAAAGCTCTAAAGTAAGGTGCATTTACACAAAATATAACACAGTAGAAACCATCATCAGTCCATTACTCCTGTCGCAGCTTGTTCCTGTACCAGGTCTCAGGAAGCTGTCTCATCTCCAGCTGGTATTGGGTGAGAGACGAGGGACGCCTGTCCATCACTGGACCAAAAACAGCAACACACTCACACCTAGGTCCAGTCTGGCTCACTAGTTAGCCTAATATGCATGTTTTTTGGTCTTTGGAAGGAAACCCCAAAGAGACATGAGGAAGTCTCAGTCTGGACAGAGAGTCCAACCTGCTCTCGTGTTGCCGTTCGAACACATGGAGTGAATCCCAGATTGTTTACTGGTGTGAGGAGATTCACCAGCGGTAGGCTAGCTGTTCTGTGAACCTGAACGGTTTGCTTTCACTGGTGGTGCTCATAAGGTCCCTCATACGTTGTGCACGACGCTCTTCCAGCACGAGCCTGCGGGAGTGCTCTCGAGCTGCCTGCTGCTCTGCTTGCTTCTCCGCCCGCTTCCTCCTCAGCCAGCTGAGTGAAGGAAGGGAATGGTGGCTATTGAAAAGGGAACTCGACACTTGATCAGTCAGCTGATGACTTAGGATGCAGTTCATGGTGTTTTGTATAGATGTCAAAAGTTTTTTGTTTGTTTTTTTATCTTAAAACTTAATCAGTTTCAAACACTGTATTTTTTGGAAATGTTGAAAATGAAAGAACATAACCCATGGACGTAATTTTCACTTTGGAAGTGTGGGGGGTATCTTTACAGAATGCTCTAATGGGAAACAGGCTTCAAAACAAACGGTTGTTTTCTGCTTGGTCCTAGAGCTCAACCAGTGTCAATTTAATATAGCGCAATGTTGGTTTTGGATGGTAAAAAGTGCAGGGGTCAAAATTTGACTTTGGAAGAAGTGGGGGGGACATGTCCCCCCCCCCCCCCCCCCCCCCCCCCCCAAAAAAAATTACGTCCATGACATAACCCATTCCTGACATCCCGGATGACTACGGGGGTTACAGCTGCTCTATGTTACAAGAATGATCATAGAAAAAAATTTGAAGAACGACTCCGTTATCTGGGTTTAAGACAGACTTACAAAAAAGTCAAAAACATTTTCTGACCTTTGCACATCATTAAATGTGTGTGTGCAGCGCTGACCCCTGAAAACCAATCTCCCCCAGCAGCTGCTACCTTATTAAAAAAGAAATCATCCAACTAAAAGTTTTATGATCTTGAAATAAATTTGCTAAAAGGATCAAACTCACAGTTTGAAGGCGTGCTCACATTCCTCGCGGCTGTGCAGCAGGTAGCTGTTGTCCTCCTCGAGTCTCCGGAGCTCCATGAGCTGCCGGTCTTTCTGCTGCTGCTCCCGTTTCCTCTGCAGCCACAACCGGAAGGCTTCGTCTGGGTCGCAGGGGTCTCTCTGTGAGAGGAGCGCAAGAACACTCAAGAGTTTGTGTTTCTATGTATGTTACTGAAAAACAGTGTTTTGTGGTGTTGTTTTTGTCTTTATAGAAAAATATGTCAAGATGTTCCTTTTGAAAGATCTTTTCTGTAAATCTGAACATATTTATAAACAATGTCTGATAAATAACAATAAGCATTTATGTTTCCGTGCAAATAAATATAAAAACATGCGTTTTAAACCCTTTAAGAGTTTCTTCTCAAGAGCTTTATGACTGAATGACAATAATAACTTTAATGAGTTGTCAACAGTGAAGTTGACGCCTCTCGTCTACCGTTAAACTCATCCTCTCTATCTCCTGGGCTCGATGGATCTTTCGCTCCTCTTGAAACTGCTCTCTTTTCTTCATCAGCCAGGCCTTGAATGCCTGCTCATTCTCTTGCTTCTTCAGCTCGTCTTCCTCACGCTTCCTCTGCTCCGCCTAACCAACAGAGAAGAGGAAAAGGAAAGCGAGATGCTACTTTGCCACCAGAATGACAGTTTCACATTCTGCACCTCTTTGGTCAGCCTCTCCTTCTTCTCCTGCATCCTCTGCAGCAGCTTTTTCTTCTGGGGGGAGAGAGTGTAGGTGGCCTGGCAGGGTGTTCCTGCAGCAGACTGCACCCGTCGCTTGCTGTTTCTCCCCTGAACGCCTCTCTGGCTTTGTCTGGCGGAACTGGGCCTGATTGGCTGTGCAGGAGGCCTGGGAGCTGGAAGGTGGTCAATGGCCAGGGGGAAGGAGGAAGAACCAAGAAGGAGTTGAGGGGAGGAGGAGAAGGAAGAGTGAATCTTTCCGTTCTGCTGCTGTCCACGTGGTGAGGAGTGTGAAAAGTCACTGTAATGGTTGGCTATAGGAGGGAGGATGCTTTGACTCTCTACCTCATTTATGCTAACGAGGTCAAACTTTCCATCCTTTTCCACGAGCACTCTGCCATCTCTTGTTTCCTCAGGGTCCCCACTGCTGGATCCTTTGTACCCTTTCCTTTCATCACGAGGGGAAAGCTTTAACTCGAACATCTTCCCTGACACCTCTGCATCTGCAGCCTTGGACGTGTCCTTGCTGCCCTTCTCTCCTTCATCAACAGTTTCCCCTGTCTCAAACTGGATCGGAGGAACCACCAGGTCCACCAGCGTCTCTTTAAAATGAAGCCGTCTTTGTCGTGTCATGTCCGGTGTTTCCTGTTCCTTCAGCTCCCTGTTAGCCTGCTGAATCTTCTCTAATATGTACTTCTTTTCCTCATCAGTCTGCTCATCCAATTCAGGAGAAGGTGGTACAGGTGAGGATTGACCTGGACTGTCCCTGTCCGAGCTGTACTCCAGCGGCTCCATCGGAGAGGGCCACCTCTCTTCTTCTTCCTCCTCCTCTTCCAGATGTCGTATTTTCACAACTCTTTTCTTCCTTCTTTTCCTCCTTTGTTTTTTCCCATCTCCCTGCAGCTCTTTGTCTATTTCTGCCTCTATGTCCTCATAGTCAGAGCCCTGTGAGGTAGATAAGGCACTCTATTTATCACTTATGCAGATGAAAAGCATCACCACTTAGCTGTATAGACTCCTGTGATAACAGATATGTTTGTTGGTTCATCAATATTGCATCCTGCTGCAGCACAGTGAAAGTATGCCACTGTCACCAGCATTGGTTTCGCATGTGAGCGGCTAGATGTGCCAGGTCGTGTAACTCAACACTATTAACTGTCACAGTTTCAAAGGGCTCCGTGGGTTAGCTACACATTCAGCACACGGCCTGCAGTAAGCAGAGCAGAGATCCACACTTACATTCACCACATGCAACAAAAGGCAATAATAAACGAGTAAAGGAGGTGATGCAGTTGGATTTTACACTGATAGATTCACCTGGTCCTCGCTTCGGCCCTCACTGATCAGCCAGTCGAGATCCTTCTCAAAGTCATCCTCGTATTCCTCCTGAGACGTCGTGCTAGTGACTTCAGTCATAATCTAAGAAGAAAGAAACACAAAACTGTTTTAATGCTATAGAGGACATGGAAAAATTGGTATAGTGATCTATTTGAAGATTGACTTGTTATAACAATGCCTATTAGTTTGAAATATAGAGTTGATTATTTAAAAATTGAAGGAAAAAAACTAAACCAAATCTAAATATTCATTTTCTAATGATTTTAGCTAATGTTCACCACATAACCTGCAATATGGCTTTATTATTTAGCAATATTTATGCATTTTAATCATATTTTAGTTTTCTTTTTACTTTTTTCATAAAATGTAACAGCAAAGAAAAATTTCTGACACACTCAAGACCATGTACATCTGTCAAATTACTTCAAATCACTGTTATTACTAACTAACTCTCACAAGAGCAACAGTGCTGATGGCAATTCAATGACCAGAAACTGAAGATGTTTATGTTTATGTATTTAGCAGACACTTTTGTCCAAAGTGACTTACAAGTGATAATCGGCATATTGCCTAAACTAGACAGAGATGCACTATCATTCTATTTTTAATGAATCAACATAGTAGAAATATGCTGTTATTAATACGTTTAGAAAATGTATGCACATGAGAATATATTGTATTTGAATGTCTTAAGGTACAGTGGCAGGGTGGAGAAACGAGAGCCCGGGCGGGACTCGATGGCCAGACTCCCGGGTGAGAGATATATGCACTAACCGGTCAGCCAAAGGCACATCCCCTTGGCCAAGTAGCCAGGGCGCATGAACAATCGGAACACTGTGACAGGACACACACTGCCACAGTACTAAAAACTAAAAACGAGTGGTGTGGTTTGATGGTTTGATTCCACCTGCTGGCCGCGTGGAGTACTACAGGTAAACCGAGTTTTTATTTTCGTGTTTTAGACATGTTTGAAATCAGAATTTCCTATTTGCTGCAGCCGTAACCGTCATAGGATCTTCTCTGAAAATCACAATTTACACATTTATTTTGCTCTTCTTTTTTACACTTTCTGAAACTCTGATTTATGCTTGTTTTAGGACAATTTGCAAAACAAATATATTTACCTGAATTTATTATTCTACGTAGGACTCCTCTTCATGTGCCGTGAAAGGTATCTGTAGTACAATATGCAGAAGTCTTGCTGTTAAACTTACCGGCGCTTGCACGCAGCAGCCTTCTCCCGTTTAGTTTAATGTAGAACAAAATAGAAACATTCTTGTTTCGTAATTATTTCTGTTTATCTGACCCACATACTACTGACCGGCGCGTCTGCGGAGCAACACCTGTGCTCATAATCTGCTTCCAGTCTCGCCAGCCCTAAAAGGTTTATTAGGGCTGTCGTCATAACAACGGACAACACGCTTTACGACATGCGCATGCGCACCACATCATTCACAGCACAAGTCAATGGCAACTGGAATGTGTTTTTCTGTTTCTTCTGTTTCTGCAGCACTGTTTTTAAACGACGAACAAATGTAAAAACCAAACTAAAACGTTTCTCCAACAACTTTGTTATGAAACTGGTCCAGCTTGAAAAATGTGTGTGACAAGACGGCAATGAGTGTGGTTAATTTTTAACAGCTGTTAAGATATTCGTGACCAAAGGGTAGTTCTCATTTAAATATTTGAGAACTGCTTTATTTTTACTGTTAGTCTTCAGATTTATTGGGTTTATGCTAATTGTAGCTCTGGCTAAGTTATTTCAGTGTAGATTGTGTGGGACACCAGGAAAAGCATAAGATGTAGGATGATGATCATTAAAGAGCAAGTCACCCTTTACAAGAAGCGCACTTCACTCCCACTTCATGTTTGAAAAATGCAACAAATGATGTTGCCTAGCAGACCGAGAGGGTGGAGCCACTAACAAATACACACACTCACGACATTGTGACATCATAATGTACCAGTTTACATCATAGCATACCTCTTAGCCAATAGCGGTGGCAGATTTAAATTCAAATGTAGTGCAGAGTTTTTACCTGACAACGGCACAACACTGACAGTTTCAGGCAGAAAATTTAAATTTGAACTAAAATGCACTAAAGTGCAAAACTATTGACTACACGTGTCTGCAGCACAATTAGACACGCATTTATATAGTTTATCAGAAAACAATAGTTGATTTGGGGGTGACTTGCTCTTTAAGAAACAAGGAAATATAAGATGTTCTGATCTTGACTGGTTTATAATAATAATAATAATAATAATAATTATTATTATTATTATTATAAACTTGTTTATTCGAACAGATATGAAAAAATGTCGAAAAAAACAAGGCACCAGAAGATCGTGAACGCAACGTTAGTTTTAACCGCGCTGCATTCTGGATTTTGAAGTTTATTCACAACAACAACGCCCGGTTCGAAACCACTAAGAACTACATTTCCCATGTTTCCAGTTTAAGAAACCCCGCCTCTTTAGTTGACAGTTTTAAACATGACTGATAGCACGTATCCATAACTTCTGATAATGTAGCTAGTACTTCTCACTCATTAACTAGTGACTACGGAAGAGAGGAGGGTCTTCTTACTAATGGCGTCTACTATTGTCTTCTTTTCGGTCAAGAAAACCGCTCAGACCACTACAAGACGATGTTTGAAGGGTCTTGCTCATAGTCCGTCAGTGTCTTTGCTTCCGGGGGGGAGATGGTCTTCGAGAGGGACAGGCGTGCGGTTTATGTCCCAAGGGACCGCAGCCGGGAGATCCAGGAGGGGTGCCCTGGCGCTCAGTGCAGCCGCTGCGGTAACAGCTGCTACAGCGGTCGCGGGGTTCCTGGCCAACGCTGACCACTTCCAGCGAGCAGAAATGGCAACCAGCGTCCCCCAAACTGCAGAGGAGAAGAAGAAGAAGAAGAAGGATTATGAAGATGAGGGGGACATTGTGGAAAGGTGTAAAGACTTCATGTCTGTTCCAGTGACCGACATAAAGGTGTTGCAAGAAAGGAAGCAGGAGATGAGTACCAAGATGGAGATGCTGATCATGGAGACTCAGGCCGAATTCTGTAAAGCCCTGCAGGAGGTGGACGGTGGGACCTTCAAGGTGGACCGATGGGACAGGAAAGAAGGTATGGAGAAAATACCACACGTTGGACCATAAATGAGTGATGGATAAACAGAAAATACCCAGAAAATGAATTATTTTTGACTGTGTGTGTGTGTTTCAGGTGGTGGAGGGATCAGCTGTGTGATGCAGGATGGAAAGGTGTTTGAGAAGGCTGGAGTCAACGTGTCAGTGGTGTTTGGAAACCTGACTGAAGAGGCTGCAAAACAAATGAGGAGCAGAGGAAAAGTCCTGAAAGGGAAAGATGGTACGTGATGCACAAGGATGCTGTTTTTAGCCTGCCCCTCTCTCTGATGATCTCTCTTCATTTGTTCTGTTCGTTTAAGGTAAGCTGCCTTTTTGTGCCATGGGTGTGAGCTCAGTCATCCACCCAAAGAACCCCCACATACCCACAGTGCACTTCAACTACAGATACTTTGAGATTGAAGAGGCAGATGGTGAGTTTCAGTTCTTCGTGACACTTTGTGACAGTGACACTGTTGAGCAAGTGAATGAATGATTACCCTTGTTTCTTCCTTTTCTTGGTGTGTGTGTGTGTGTGTGTGTGTGTGTGTGTGTGTGTGTGTGTGTGTGTGTGTGTGTGTGTGTGTTCAGGCACCAAGCAGTGGTGGTTTGGTGGAGGAACTGACCTGACTCCTGTATATATTGATAAAGAAGATGCCCATCACTTCCACAAAACCCTGAAGGAGGCCTGTGACCAGCACCACCCGCAGTATTACCCCGACTTTAAAAAATGGTGTGTGTGTGTGTGTGTGTGTGTGTGTGTGCGTGTGTGTGTTCAGGACTGACTCCAGAGTTTGTGTGTGTGTGTATGAATGACAATGGGTGTATCCTTTCTGTTTGATGTTGATAAGAGGAAGTCTCTTCCTAAAATCTTGCAGACGCAGAGAAACCGTTGAGCTGTGTAAAGCCAGAGAATGACCAGTGTGGGTGTGGTTTATCTGATTATACCTTTTAGAAATTCCACAATTCTGGCAAATTTCCTTTCATTAAAGTTTATGGCAGCATTACAACATTTTCAAAACACAACCTTATTAGATAAGACTTAGATTTTTGAAAATGTGCAATTCTGACATCTGTTGTGGCCACAGAGATCAGCTGAACAGTCAGGACTTCATTATTTTTGCCCATTTGTGCTATTATTTACTCTTTATAAAACATCTTATAAGTTTTTACATAAATGCTCTAATTTGGCAGCCACTTATATTATTTTGCTTGTACAATCAAGTGTTTAAGTGCATTTCTTAATCAGTCATTCACACAAGTGCACATTTTCTTCACTGAGGAGCCAATCTGGGGCTAAGTGGCGTTCTGTGCCTTGCCTACGTACACATAGATGGTTGGAAGGTGACCACGTTTTCACTAAGCTTCACTTGAAAAGTGAATAATTTAGCGGTTCAATCCTTCTGGCCCGTAGGTGTGATCGATACTTCTTCGTTCGCCACAGAGGAGAGACTCGTGGTATAGGAGGGATCTTCTTTGACGACCTGGACTCTCCGAACCAGGAGCAAGTGTTCAAATTTGTCAAGAGCTGCGCACGCACTGTGGTGCCCTGTTACCTTCCCATCGTGTACAAACATCTCAGTGACTCCTTTACTGCTGAGGAGAAGGACTGGCAGCAGGTTCGGCGAGGGAGGTGAGGATTTAAATGATGCACGTCGCAACTGATGACCATTTAGATCAGCTACTTCTTATTTAATCAGCAGAAGGATCAGATCTTGTTCCTTTTGGTGATGAGTCATTTCCATAAAGTGTCTGATGTGTCAGGCGCTCTATTATTTCATCTGAAACCCTGCTGAGTGTCTGCTTTTTTGCTGTTAGGATGTTGATGTGTAACTTGGTGCTAAGGAGGTTTGTCTCAACATTGAAACAAACTTCTACTTTCTTTGTTTTTATGTGAAGTCAGTGCAGCTCCCGGCAGAGCTCGATGCCTCGGTGGGGAGTGAGACAGTCAGAGAATGAGCTTAATGTTTAGTTATGAATGAGTGGAAGTGCAGTAGTGAATTTAGAAACAGACGCATGATTGCAAAAGGTGGGAGGCTAGATGTGTGAAAGGAATTAACTCTGGCTCACTCTCATCTGTGAGCTCTGTGGCTCACAGACTGAATAAACCTTTTCAGATTCAGATGAACTTTTTATTCCCGCAGGAAGGTTCAGGTGAGAAATTCAGTTACCAGCAGCAGCGCATCAACAGAGGAGGAAAAAATGGTTTCTACAAGAAACAAAATGGACCAACGTTTATTTAAAAACTAAAATCGTAAAAAAAAATGGTAACTCTTTACTGTAAGGGTTCCCTTTATTAAAGAGACAATGAGTAGTTTTTACCGTTAATCTCTGGAAACATCCATCGAAATGTTGCTGAAAATGAATAAAATGATGTCCAGTCGTTGAAAAATATTGGCAGCTTTGTAACATATAACCATAAAAATTGGGTCTAAAGTGCATAGGGCGCGGGTCTAGCATCTTTGGGGGACGCCATGTTTCCTTCTGGTTGGCTCGGGGTCCTGCGCCTGGCGATGGTGTCACACTAGATGACTGGCTGGGCGTACGACTTATGGAAGTTATGTTACCACGTTCAGAAACATTTAGATGGTAAGAAACATGAATTTAATAATTAAACTGCTAAACTCTTTTCAAAATCGATGTGAAGGAACAGTGTCGAAAAAGAGATGCTATATATTTTGGCCAAGTGGTATTGCCATAGTATGATAATGTCATCGGCAGGCGCAGGACCACGAGCAGATTCGGAAACTACAGCGCCAGAAAACTAGCATTAGCATTCTCTCGATGGAATTAACTGAAGGACCATCAAAGTCTGAGGAGTCGGACCGAGGTTGCGTGCTTTCTGCTCCACGGGTAACATTTACCGTAATGTTTTTTCAACTAGCAACAGTCAAACTACTCTGAAATGTATGTATATACTGCCCCCTAGTGCTAGGAAACTACACACTGCCACATTAATGTTATTTAGTGCATTATTAAGAATTAATAAACAAAGGGTCGCTTTATTAACATTACCATTATTGTTAATGGTTGTAAAAGGTTTTAGTTTTTTCATGCTTAAAGAGCAAGTCACCCCCAAACCAAGTTTTTTTTTTTTTGCTGATTAACTACACAAATTAATGTCTAAGACACGTGTAGTCAATAATTTGGCACTTTAGAGCAGCTTAGTTAAAATTTAAATATTCTGCCTAAAACTGTCAGCATTGTGCCGTCATCAGGTAAAAACTCAGCTCTACATTTGAATTTAAATCTGCCATTGCTATTGGCTAAGAAGTACACAATGACGTTAACTGGTACATTATGTCACAACGTTGTTGTGAGCCTGTGTGTGTGTGTGTGTGTGTATTTGTTAGCGGCTCTGCCCTCTCGGTCTGCCAGGCAACATTTGTTGCATTTTTCAAACATGAAGTGGGAGTGGAGCAAGACTCTGGTAGAGGGTGACTTGCTCTTTAATAATACACAAAGCAAGGTTAATAATGGAACCTTTATTTTAAACTGTCTCCAAAAAAAGAAGAAAATATGGAATTATGTCAGCAGGTTTCAAATTTACAGATCAAAATGGGAATACATTTCATCTGCTGTCTTTTTGTTTTTGTTTAATATAAAGTCTATAAGGAAAATTTGTTATTTTAAGTTTAAAGTGGAATAACTTCAAATGATGTGTTCGAATAATAAAGTTTAACTAAATAAGTGAAAAGAGAAAAAGGCACGTTGGATGGTGGGAGAGGGGCAAGATCTTAGGCAACAGTTAGAAAATTAAAACTTTTCAAAGTTTGGTCAGCATCAGTATTATCACAAATCATTAATTATTTCAGATGTTTTAGGTCTCATCAGCTTTATTCATTTACAATACATCTGACACTGAGGTTGTTTTTTTATGAAGGCCTATGTCACAAATTTTCCACCACCATCAATTCAAATGAAGTGAAAAATCTCAGAAAACAAGAGATTCTTCATTTTGTTGGATCTAACCTGTTTTATTTCACTTGTGCTGTATGGAATTACCTTCAAGTATCATGAAATCAGAAACAATGAGAGCAAAACTCTAGTTTATATCTTGTGTAAGGCATTTCATCACAATGTGTGTGTGTGTGTGTGTGTGTGTGTGTGTGTGTGTGTGTGTGTGTGTGTGTGTGTGTGTGTGTGTGTGTGTGTGTGTGTGTGTGTGTGTGTGTGTGTGTGTGTGTGTGTGTGTGTGTGTGTGCGTGCGTGCGTGCGTGCGTGCGTGCGCGCGCACATTGTAGATATGTGGAGTTTAACCTGGTGTACGACAGAGGAGTGAAGTTCGGCCTGGCCACGCCCGGCTCCAGAATCGAGAGCATCCTCATGTCCCTCCCTCTCACTGCCAGGTAAGACTACACCCTCCAGCTCCTGTGCGTGGCTGTATATGTTCTGTGTTCCTTAGTGACGAGTCACCTTTCATCCTCAGGTGGGAGTACATGCACGAGCCTCCCAAAGGTTCCCGGGAGGCAGAGATGCTGGAGGTGCTCCGAAACCCAAAGGAGTGGGTGTGAGCGTGGTGTAGACGGGTTCACAAAGGTTATTTGTTGTATTTTGAAAAGCTGCGACTGGTGGGACAAAATCTGCGTTTAAAAAAACCACGTTAAATTATAATGGCCGCTCTCTATATATAAATACTTTTGTTTTATTGTTATTTTTGTTGATTTGTGTTTGATCATATCAGCCTCGTCAGAGCTTTACAGAATGAGATGATGGTTTGTGCCAACAGTCAAGTGACCTGCCATCTGGTCATCTGATGACTTGAATTTTTGTATTTTCTTTAACTTGTCAAAACTTTAATTTCTTTAGATTCTGTTTAATGAAGCACTGAAAGGGAAAAGAAACTGAACCACTCTGTACATCACCACTGCTGTCCATAGCAATAAACCTGGTTTCTGACGTGTGTGTGTGTGTGTGCGCGCTCCAAAGCTCCTGAGTAAGAATAAATCGCTCTCTCTTGAGCCCCCTTCGCTCTCTTGTTGGTCTTGCAGCTGTGGTTAATGAGTCACTTGCTTTGTCTGGACTCTGGTAAACAATATTTGGATTTTGGATCACGTTTCAGGTTGTGAATCACAGTCCAGGTGGTTATTCAAAGATCCAGTTTTCAGGACCGTTTCTTTTATATATAGTATCTCGAGTTATTTACCCCAAACAACACACACAAAATGTTATTCCAGTCAGTACCAAAGCAACTCTTTCAGTTAGAACTTTTTCTTCCTACATGAACTAGTTATGCATTCTCTCCGAACCAACAACTCATGTTTGTAAATGATGCAACAAAACAAGATGCGTTTCTGAAATCTGAGTGACAAGAAAGATATTTTTTGTCTTTTTAAAAATTTATTCAAGCTTTTGCACATGTCCAGGTTGTATAACAAGTTCCCTTGTACTCTATCTTAAATAACATTGTTTAATAAGGCATAGTAAAAACAGGGCTGTGTGGAAGTTACCGGACAACCAGAGGGAGTACCAGCCGAGGTTCACAAGTTAACTCGCACAAATACAACGTTCTTAGTGCTCCAAGTGTGCTGTGAGGAATATATGTGATGGTCATCCATGTCACATGACTCAACGGGTACATTTCAAGTGGGTTGCATTTCGAAAGTATTGCATATTGATTATGAGCACCAAAGTGTACACTGGCATCATGAATGCTGGAATGACAGGCTTTCCTGTTTCAGTCCAGAACTCGTTCTAAGTGTAAACAACGTTTCGTAGTGTGTTCACACGCTGTAGTTCCTTTACACCGGTGTCAATGTAATCACCAAATTCCTGTGCAGTAAAAATCTTACTGTAACTTTCACACAGTCTACACACATACAGTGTGCAGAGGTGCATTACACATGCCAAGCATAATCTTCAGTAACATTTAGTCCAGGCTTGTCCCTTAAATCTCCATCTAAAGCCCCTGTATTCGTTTTCTTGCTCATATTCTCAGCTCTGTGGCTTCACAGGTGGATGTGGGCCAGTGAGCCCTAACAGAGCGGAGTTCTCATTTTACGCTTGCAGGTTGAGCTGCATGCACAATCAAAATAATAAGCAAACGTGACACCCGCATACAAAAATAGGTCCCTTTTAACTTTTGTTTAGCTTGATCCCTAAAACTTAAGCTCTAAATATCGCTAAAGGACACAAAAGGTTGGACCAATGCCTTCGTTTGGAAACTGCATTGACACGGTTTTTACTGCAACAATGAACTGAAGTGCTGGAGGCCACGTAGAAGGTTGATGGGTTAGTTCACACCAAACTTTACAGCTTAGCTCATTATGAATTTCAAATGTTAGCTTTTGATGTGTGTTCTGGTCGTAAACTGTCCCAAAACCAAAAAGTAGGTGGCCGCCTAACATTCCTCTGGTCCATAACAAGTTACGTTAGCTGTCAGAAAAGACCAGATTCTGATTTCCTACCAGTTCTGTTTCGTCTCTTGCTGATTAGATGTGAACTAATGCAGGTTTTAGTTGTCTGAAAAGTTACTGCAATAGAAAAACTTTCAAAACCATAAATATGACAAAAATGTTACCATAGTTAAAAGATATTAAAAATATGTACAAAATATCTGACGATAACCAAACAACTCACTATTTGGCACCAATCTTCAAAGATGCATCAGTCCAACCCCTTTTACACATAAAATGATGTTCCTTTAATATAGCACGGATTATTGTGACCACTGATTCTACTTAAGGAAATGCAGCTGAGGTGTTGGTTGGTTTTGGTATTCAAGGATCACATTTTCCCTCCTGGCTTCACCTTAACTAAGTGATAAAAGATTAGTGCAAATCTCAGCAGAGCTGGTAACAGCAAAGATTGCATTAGTCGACTTGAGTGACTGTTAATGTGTTTTTGCTGTGTGTGTTGAATGAGAAAGGCTGGTGATACCACAGTAGTAGCACTATTAAACAACTAGTCCCAGTGAAGGTTCGGACCTCAGTTTGGGTGGAAGAGGAAGACAGGTTTACTTCCCTTGACCGCCGCTGATTCTCACCGAGCTGGTGTTCATTATGTCTTCGTATTGAGGAGGAGGTTCTGTCTCTATTTGGACGTCTGTGTGGCCCACGGCCTCTTCGTAAGATGGCGGCGGATCCCCCACGCCCCCTCTGCCTGAAGTCATCTCAGAGCCCAGGTAGGCTGGGCTGCTGTGGATGCTGAGTTCTGATTGGTCACCGTGGTGGTAATCCCTCCCCCACTGATCCATGGAGACCACCGACAAGACGTGGTTATGATGGGAGTGTCCCAGACTTGGGCTGCGCTGTGAGCGCTTACGGGCATGACAGCGCCACGCGGTGATGGCGATGGCAGCGATGATGAGCCCAACCAGCACCAATGGCACGACCACGTACAGAGACTGAGCTCCGCCCACCACCGAGTTCAGCCCTCCTGGTGGACTGCTTTCCCGGACATATTCCTCCCAAAAACGCCTCTGCAGTCAGGACAAAAACAGACATGAGGTCAAAACCAAACAGAGCACTGACTAATATTTCTAACAAACCCGAGTCAGACTAAACCAGTCACTCACTCACACACACACACACACACACACACACACACACACACACACACACACACACACACACACACACACACACACACACACACACACACACACACACACACACACACACACACACACACACACACACACACACACACACACACACACACACACACACACACACACACACACACACACACACACACACACACTATGTGCATTACAGCAACATAAAGGGAGTGGACAACAACTCCCAAACAACCAGAGACCACATGATTTTGCATGTTTTTCTTTGCTCTCCAGCCTCTCGGCGGGTTTACAAAGAGCCTTCCTGCTCTGTGAGCACTGGGCTGCTCTTCCTGTTGATGAAAATCACTTCCTGAAAAGAAAACAAACAACATTCCAAACACTGAGACTTTTGTTACAAGATTTCATTGTTGGGCAGAAGAAAATAGTCCTAGCAGACTTGTAGGTGAATATTGTGTAGCTGGGGTCAGTTACACATAGTTTAACACGGATTTCTGGATTATAGATGCAGATGAGAACTCCGTTACTGTAGATAGATCTTTTCTCTCTCACGCACTCATTTTCTGTAACACCTTTTCTCATTAGCATTATGGGGAGCTGGTGCCTAACTTCAGCAGTCATCAGGAAAGAAGCGGGGGACTCTAGATGGGTCACCAGACCATCACAGGGACCCACAACGACAACCAGTCACACACCCACGCACACCTGTAGGGACAATTCAGTCCCCAACTGACCTGAAGTGCATGTTTTTGCTCTGTGGGAGAAAACCCATGCGCGGACAGGGAGAACAAGCAAACTCCAAACTAGAGATGTTCTAATGACATTTGTTTGCTCCCGATCCGATAATTTTCAGCAAATCATTAAAACAAGAAGAAAAAAGGAAATAATTTTCAGCAAAGCATTCAAAGACACCTGCTAGTTGTCTTTAAGTTTCACTCTTTGTCTGGGAAGAACACAGATTAAAAACGTGGTTATTTTATGAATATATTCAAAAGTAGCAGTGTTGCTCATTTCAACATGCCCCGGCAGACTTACTTTTCCCTGCGTAACACTAGTAGCTTCTGCCGGCAGCTCCTGTGCTGTAGGAAACAACCCGACGTTTTGTAGTTTGTTGGAAGTTTCTCTGTTTATTAGCATATCCATTGCAAAGCCATCTTTGTCGGCTAGCTTCGCATTTTTTTCCGAGTTTGCTGTGAACTGGGACTGTTAGTGGCAAACTGGGAATCAAAGGAGACAGGTGATTCACTTTGTTGACACCTGAAGGGAAAAGCCTAAAGTGAAAGTAGTTTGTTTGACTGCAACGAATCATGGAACTGTGTCCTCTCCAGCATGTGGAACGTCCAGTAAGCACACACTACAAGTGGCTGCTGCTCTGCCTTCCCAGTCCAGTTTAAAATACCACCAAGCTGAAGAATTTTTAGCTCTCCTGAGGAGACGCGTTAGCTCTGCGTTAGCCTGCTTGCTAACAGCTGCGACTTGGTGCCTGAATCCCTGCCTGCTGTAAAGTGTGTGACGTTATCGTGTTGTTTTCATACAAGAAACAGAATTCTGATGTAGAGGAACTTGTTGAAATTACAACTAAGCCATTGTTATTCCATTTGAAAATCTCTCTCTCAGGGCAAACTTAAAAAGTCATTTGTTGTTTTAAAAAAGTTGAATCCGATCTTTTCTGATTTTTTTTTAAAATGACATGATTGGGCCCGATTTCCGATGAAGTGATCGGATCGGAGCATCCCTACTCCAAACAGAAAGGGTGCCGGTGGCCTCGAACCTGTGAATCGTCTGTCCTGGTAACTAAACTTGTCTTATTTTGATAAACAATAATATTGTCATTTTGAGACAATTTTTTATGACTATGATGACAACGGCATAAAAATGCAAGTACACCCTCTGAATGATTTATAAACTTTCTGAAGGGCTTTTAACATTAGAACTGGAACACATTTGAAATGGCCAAAATAAAACAATGACATGGGAATAAAAACCTTGTAAACAAACTTTGTAAACAGTGTGATTAAGTGCACTACATCACCTATGAGTGTGCGACATTTAGCACGGTCTTTCTGTATTTTGTTTAACTCATTCGCTGCCAGCGTTTCTCACTGTTTTTACTGTTTTTTTAAGAGTCACAGAACGTTGCGCGCTAGGATGATGTCGATGCCAAAACAACCAAAACAAAGCGGAGACTCACCTCTTACATCAGGAAGAATCCATGCGTTTCGAGCTCTATCTGTTCTTTCATTCCGTTGTTGAATTGTGATCAGCAGAAGCTTTTCCGGTTCGCGCCTCACTTTTTTAACAGCAGCGGCCCAAAACGATCTCCTAACACATGGATTTTCTGCTTCCTGATCACGTGACGTGTGACGTACGCGGATGAAGATCGGCTTTAGAGCTGAGATGTTTGTTCTCTCAGCGCGGGGGCTCGTTCCGATGCCCACACAGTAAAAATGCAAATGACGACTTTAGTCGTCATTGGCAGTGAACGGTTGGATTTAAAATGACAACTTTATTCGTCAATGGCAGTGAATGAGTTAATGATCAAATAACCCAGTAAATGTAGGCTGCTGGAGACAGCCCATCAATTGAAGCTTTATTTCCAAAACTGGGCGTTTGAGGTGCACGTGCTACTTTGTGGCGTTTCTCTGTTTTGTTGCAGCAAAAGTTGTTCGCCGCAGTCATTTGTTTTGAATCCAAAGTGCTGCCATACTGCAAACGTAGTGTTTTGCTTCAAAACCAATTCCATCTGTTTTACCAACTGGAGCTTGTCTGGTTTGTTACTCTTCATGCGGCTCTGTTGCTGCAAAGTTACCTGACACGAGATAAGAGTTTATTCCTCCTGGGCGAGAAGTGGAGGGGCCATGCAAGACTCATGCACCGCCGGAGTGAGGTCTTTTAATGTTCACTTTGATTTAGGGTTAGAGTAAGAGTCACAAGGAAACCTAACGAGCAATGCCAGCATTGCAATCATTTTTCATTTATCATGTCATGAATTCATTTATCGCGACAAGCTTACCTGTGAACTTTTTATATAAGAACCATATGTGATCATGCAGATAATGAAGTCTTTTATAAGGATCCGATGTCTTGCTACCAAGACCTTTACAAAGAAAGTCAGTTTTCTCACCGTCTTCTCATCATTCTCAAAAGCTTCACGGGCTTCCTCATACGTGCAGACCTCCTCACGACACTCCCTCTGGATGTTACCTAGCTTTATCTCCTCGAGAAGGAAGTTGGCCCTCCGCAGACGCTTTAGCAAGGAGTTGGCAGTGCTTGCTGGCAGGAACACTGTGAGAACAGCAACAGAAGATCAGAACATGGGAGGGAGACGGGAGGAGGCAGAAACAATGACACAGTTGGAGCAACGATACAAGTCTGGGAGACATGTATGAGAAAATGCTACGTTAAAAAGACCAAGCAGAGAAAACCAAAGAAACAAGTCAGTAAGTGGAATAGCACGTAGGAAGAAGGGACGGGAGAGGACATAAGCAAATAAAAAGAAGAAAACATACTAATAAAAAGAAGCTAAAAAGTGAGAGTTGTTGAGACCAAACAATGACAGCAGAGGCGAGAGCAGCTCAGTGCCCACATTTCTGCATAAAAACAAAAGCTCCTTTGATTTAGGCATTCATTACTTTTAGGCCACATAGGAAAAACATAGAGGAATACATTTGAGGCACTAAGTACCCCATGGTTTTAGAAACCCGGGAGAAAAGGATATGCCCTCCAATAGAAGGCGTGCATGACATGAACACAGTATGTCCTGGGAGTGGAAGTTTGATGTGCAGTAAATATTCACACGCACACAACCCAACTCACAACTTAAAGGTGCAATAAGTCATGAAGCAAGAATGACATTTGGTGGTCACATGTGGGTACTGCAGTCCATTTTTATAAACAAAAGGTAAAATAGTAAACGGCCTGTATTTGATATAGCGCCTTCTAGAATTCTGGAGCCCCCCAAGGTGCTTTACAACACAATCTGTGATTCACCCATTCACACCCTGGTGGTGATGAGTTCCACTGTAGCCACAGCTGTCCTGGGGCACACTGACATAGGTGAGCCTGCCGTACACAGGCGCTACCGGTCCCTCCAGCCACCACCATCAGACAAGGTGGGTTAAGTGTCTTGCCCAACACAACGACAGCGACAGACTGAGCAAGGCTCAAACCTTCATGCTTCTGATTACGGGGCGAGCACTTAACTCCTGTGCCACCATGGCCCCATGACTTTCTCACTACCCTTCCATGAGCTTCATGGCTGTTGCCAGTTATGGATCAGTACCAGAAGATTCTATTGACCAGTGAAGATGAGTCATACACTTTAAATTGCTGAGTTGATAAATACATCATCCTATCTGGTGTTAGTACTCTTGGGAGTTTTACAGTAGGGAGCACTTATTACGGTATACCTCCTACATTAGAGGAGTATAGGGTCGTTTATGCTAGTACGTTCTTGTGAACTTGACAAGAATGTGCTTGGCAAGTACAGCAGAAAGTGTGTTCTACCAAGTAAGGGAGAACAAGGACGGCATTTGGAACAGAACCGTACTACAAAGCACTATGGCTTGTTGCCAGGGTTAAAAAATGGCCAGAGCTATTTAACTCAGCTTTTATTTTGATAGTGGGTTAGCTAATTAGCATTTTGAGGCATTGTGAAGAGTCTAGAAAAAGTAAAATATAACAAATCCACAGCAAAATTTGTAGATTACACACAACTACTTACAATAACAAACAACTTTGTATTTCTTTATTTGTATTTCTGATATAAAACACTACAGTTATGAGCTTTCTCCTCTGCAAAATCTACAGCAACACTGCACCGTACAAGATTACTCCGCCTTCACAGGGAGCTTAAAGGACATCTGGAAAGATCTTTCCAAACCTTTACCAAGTACAACTGATTATTTAGCATAAATAAACTGACAGTTACCATGCAGGAGGTCATGTGCAATTAGTTTTTTGCCACTCATTGAACTACTTTGGAACTGATGAGGATTTGGATCAATATACAGAATCGACAACCACTGATATTGATAAAAACTTTTAATTCCAACCCCTAATGTTTATATATTTCAGAGACTTTACAACACGATCAAATTTGTCCTTCATTCTCCCCCACCTCTTCATGTGGTTGCCACCTCTAAACACCGTGCTTTCTATCATTTCCGTCCACTAATAAAAACGTTTCCTCCATGTGTTTGTACTCCTCTGTCACGGTGAATATACATTCATATTTTGAGACTTTTTCCCTGATGCATTCTTCAATCTGTTCCAGGTCTGCCTCTAAATATCTTTTTACTTTTTGGCGAGGCAATGGTGGTGCTGTTGACAAATTGAAAGGAAGCGGCGTCCTGACCAATCACAAGCCAAGGTCACTTACGACAGATAATTGAAATTTTGGGCATGTCTCCATCACCCTCTGAGTCTGTGGGAGAGCCCGTTCGCCGACACATAACAGTGTTGCGTGTCTCGCACCAACGCAGACAGAGAAGTATCAATTAGGCTTAACGGTGTACAACACAATGCATTATGGGATACTCTGCTGTCCCAAGTTCACAGAACGATGCATTAAAGCATCCTGGATACAATGGGCAGATTAAGAGCACATCCATAAACTTTCAGCGAACTTGCCATGAAACGTACTAAGGATTGGAACAGTACTTGGGCCATCGTTGATGTTTCACACGAACGTGAGTGCACAAGTTCAGACGAGTACGTGTATTGAGAAAGGCACAGTTGTTTGCTGTCCTGCATTTAGCTTGTTGTTATAAATCTGAACGTCTCATTAAAGGAAGTAAAACGCCACAACTGACTCATTATTCCCTTCACACATACATTCCACTGTAATAGTGAGATTATGGTGAATGAAAAAGTAGACTGAGTTATTTTAGAGCCAACTTTTTGCTTCTAATTCACTGTTAGCATTGTTAGCTCAACATTAGCCTCTAGCCTGTTTCACCCAATATTAGAGTAAAACAAAAAGATGCTGTGACTTCTTAGGGGGTACAAGATAAATTTTGGGTTGCTCCTTTTACTGGCTTAGGTTTATTAACAACTCCGGAGATTTTTGCTAGACGATGTCGAATAACAAATGCAGCGTTAGCTCAGCGCAGACTTTGAAACCTCACGGGCTCACTGACAGTAACTGCATCCTTCTAGTTTTTTGAAAGGTGAAAAACAGACACACACACACCCCAGCTGAGAAGGAAATATGTTTCTGTATAATATTTCTTTCTTCCTACATGATTCAGACACTAGACTGTTCTGATTATTTCACTGTAGAATTCTTACATATTGCTCCTTTAAATGGATGGGATTAGCACAAAAACTGGAAATCACCAGTGGAAACACTGGGAAGAATGTCCATTGTTTCCGTATTTAAAACAACAATAAACCTGAACAGGCTCACATTCCACTCACTAATGTTGGAAGTAAACACCATGGGGAGGACAATAGCTGAAACTGGATTCTGCTGAAACTCTGTAAGGATTTTGTTCGTTTTCTCCCACTAGGTGGTTAAAAAAAAGAAGTTTAGTATCAGTATACATACCACTTCCCATGATTCCTGCCAGGGTGTTTGGGGTGACTTATCTGCAGAGAGTAAAACACACATTAGGCAATAAACACACAGTTTTATAATACCGATGTGAAAAAAACACACAGTAACTTATTAGAACAGGGCTATAAAAAGTACGAGCAGATGATGGTGACCACCTGATAAATGTATTCAATATTATGACACCAAGCACATCTTTTCTTCCTACCAACAGGATGAGGTTTGTACTGGCAACAACTGGCCGAGCAGTGTTTCATACACATGAACGTGTTACTGGGATCCTCCAGGCTGATGCTAGAAGATGACGTACAGCAGAAAAATCCCAAACAAAGCGACGCCGCCCCGTGGAAACTAGGCTACATTCACACAGCAGAAACACAATGGAACCCCAGGCTTTAACGAGAGTATAACAAGCCGTCTCCTCTCGCTGGTTTGGGTGTGTGTTGGTTAGCGGAGCGTCCGTCCTGACAGGCTCGTTTAATTAGTGGAGCGCCTCGGCTCGAGCTAACAGGGATGCGATAACGTGACTGAAAATATACGGCTAGTTTTCCACAAGGCGGCTAAAGACGAGACCTCAGATAAATATGGGTTATTTCACTTCGCGTCAAGAAAAGCGGACATGAAACATTTGGGTGCCACTTACAAATTTTTGTTCCCGAAAATGTGCATAAGCGATCCCTCCCCGTCGTCTCCGTTAGTGCTGCTGCTGCACGCAGAGCGCATGCGCAGACCTCTGTTTGCGACTGCGGCCTCTAATCAGCCCCTTTTCCCTCAATTAAAGGAGCAGACTCAATCAGATAAAAACACACGTAACGGAAGTTACGGTGTAACTATGGTTCTGTGAGTTCCTGGATGACTGCCACTGGCAGTCAGGAGGGAACGAAACAGAACTCCTACAAACCCAGCCACGGAGACTGACCGTGAATCCGTCTGCACAATAAATAAATAAATAAATCCAACCATAAAGAAATGGGCTGGAATTCCCCAAAACAATTCCACAAACTTTAACCCATTTTACATTCCATTTAGGGTTTATTTCAATTGACATTGCAAACAACTAACAAATTATATATGTGTATGTGTTAGATGTAATGTGAAATATGGGGTGATCTAAAAGTGTATAAAAATTGTATTTGTGTGAACTGGTCTGAAATCTTAGAGTTGGTTCGTGATGGCAGAATTACCAGTTCCAATTCAGATTAGCCTCTTGTAAATCTGTCTGTTCAAGATTAACCTTTATTTCTCCAAACTGAAGTTGTTCAAATGACTATTACCAAGCAGAAATTTTGAACTATCACTTGAAAATAGACAACAAACTATTTATAAATTGGAATAAAACAAAATTCGTGATTTTTGGTAACAAGAAGACAGATGATTCTGTTACATTGTCCATAGATGGTACTTCAGTTGAAAGAGTAAATGAAGTAAGATTTTTAGGGGTCATCTCGGATCATAAACTTAATTGGAAACCCCATATAAAATATATAAAACAAAAACTGTGTAAAAGTATTGGACTTTTAAATAAAGTAAAAAGTATTTTGAAGCCATCAACACTTCATATATTATATTACATTATTCGTTTATTGTTCCATACTTGACTTATTGTATAGAGGTTTGGGGCAACACATATAAAACAAACACTAATCCTTTGTTTTTATTACAGAAGAAAGCTATGAGAATTATATATAAAGTAGATGCTAGGGAACATACCAATAGACTGTTTATTGAATCAAAAATTATGAAATCCAGGGATTTGGTTAATTTGAAAACTTTACTAATTATGTTCTGGGCAAAAAAGAGGTTACTGCCAGTGAAGTTACAGACGTTTTTTGTATTGATTTCAAATGATGGAAAAAATAGAAAGAAGCCTGAGTTTAAAGGAGTTTTTGCACAAACAACATTAAAGCAAATGTGTATTTCAGTATATGGAGTAAAATTATGGAATAATCTGGGTCATGACCTGAAAAAATGTTTAACTACTGATCAATTTAAGAGACTATATAAAGAAAAAAAACATGGAATCGTATGATTGATAAGTAA